TCAACAAATGGTAAAAATAAATGTGTCTTCACATAAGGAAGTAGGTCAACATAACTAAATTACTTGTTAATATAATTTAAAATAAAAAAAGAAACATTGGATTTATAATTCTCTTGATAATAGTAGAGTCGGATGGATAGTTCATACAAGAACTAGAAATTATATATAGTGTTCATTTTGTGTGAAATATTATTCTTTAGGATTGCAGAGTGATGAGGAACAATTAAAAGATAATATCATAATAAATATCAAAAAGAGGAGACATAAGAAAGATTTACAAAAAACGCGAGTAACTTTCAGTTCAATTTGGCCAACATTATCAAACTTTCGGGGTCAAATTCCATCATTTAAGGTCATTTTAGCATTTTTTATTCCTTCTTTTGGGTCAGTTTTATCAATTTTCTAGTTTTATTATGATTTGTCTGCAGAGTTAGAATATCGATTTGATTATGATTCATTTTGAATCTTTAAATATGTGTTAAGAGTTTGAAAATCCTACATTCATTTTTTATAAATAATAATTTAGTTTTCCCGTTATTTGGTAGATTTCATTATTTCTCATGTTTGTTCGAGCAAAATTCGATGTCCTTGATCATGACATAGAGTACTTGTAAACATAATTAATTTAATAAGTAAGCCCATGTTTGGTGTGAATTAAAATTAAAATTTTAATCTAAATTAAAGTCAACATTTAATTTCAATTATATGTTTCATAGAATCCATAACTTTTCAACTAAATAGTTTATGGTATTTGTTAAAATCTACTAAAAAACTAATTTAATCCCCACCAAAAAAGGAATGATTAATTTACTCCCTTTCTTGCACCTATTGTTGCAATCTCCGCAGTGCTTTTTGTGGAGCGAAGGATTGATACACTATCCTTCGCTACAAATTTCAGAGAATTTGCATTTATTCCCACATTTGCCACAATTCAGTCTATCTTTAGCGACATTAACACATTTTTTATGCAATAATCTGGTCCAGGACTGCCCTTGATTCGACAAATTCTATGATCGTTGTTGCGTGTCATTGTGACACGTGATTTTTGAGCAAGAAAATGGCTACAACCCACGAAGTGATGAGAATACTTCGTTTTTCATGTTTTCATTGTTGCGTTCCTCGAGGATGAGGATCATTTATCTTCTGCTGATGCTACTGAATGTTGAAATGTTGTTCAACATTCAAGAAAAAATGAAGTGGGATGAATAAATATGAAGAAAAAACCAAAAAACAGTATTAGAGGTAAAACCTTGTTCAATGCTGTCGCATAGATTTATACTATACAGTCGCATGGCCTATTGCAGGGAATTCTGGGGCCTCTTTGGGTTGTTCTAAACTATCGCATAGATTTATACTATGCAGTCGCATAGTTATACAAATTGACTGTTGGAGGTCGATTTCCTACCGTCGCAACTCTGAATTGTGGTGGCTTTTCAACCTATTTTGGCACCAATTCGTGCACATTGGTGGTGGGCTATATATAGGTGATGCATTTCAAGCAAAAAATAAGTTAGAAACATTTGTGATCTATATTCATTCTAATATCAAAGATCAAATTCTTGATTCACGTTCATACTCTTTTCTTCATTTTGTTCTTAAAGTTTTGGAGGTTCACACTTGTACTTTAGTGCTAGATCCTTTACAAGGCTTGATATAATCCTACAAATCGTTTGCCAAAATCCTTAAGCATCTCAATCAATCTCGAGAGGAGGTAAATATAGTTTGAGAATAACGATTACGCGTTCGAGCCTTCGATCTTGTTCTTATAAAGTTTCTGGTGTTAATTATTTTTGTTGTTGCATTATTGTGATATTATTCTTATCTCTACTCCATTTCTCCTCCATATTTTCCAACACTGAAAGATAACGGCTAAGACAATTACCAATATTACCAACAAGAAGAAAACCTGCAAAGATTTCTTGGTTTCTTGTGTTCATTAATCTTAATTGATTTTATGATGAATGAGAATGAGATTACAAGTGCAGAATTTACATATCTATCTTTTTCTGGGTGGTCTTGATTCAAGTGACTGCTTCAAGTTTACTGTAAGATCTTCTTGTGCGGAAGGAAAAAGTTGAGTGGAGATGAAGAAAGTCGCAAATTACCAGAGGATCCGTACCTCCATTTTGAAGGAAACAACAAAAGAATTTGAATACTTAAGAACTAACCTTGGGAACTTGTATATCAAATTAAGTCCTAATTTCTTCTTCTTTCGGGAGCAATAATAAATACTATGAAATTACAAGACTAACAAATGAGACACATAGACTTATAGTGGCTTGTCCTCAAGGTGAGGGTTGCGTCCAGCCGCCCACTAGTCACTGCAGGTTTTTCACACGCCTCGTATTCAATATAGACGCCCTAAAATAGTTTATATTGTAGAAGTATTAAAGCGATCCAATACATGTATGGAATATCCAATATAGTCCTGGTCAATTTACGGTCGAGGATAAGTGCACAGTATAATTAGACTCTATAAGTCCAAAATTTTGTGCATTATTCTAAATCCATGCTGAAGCATATGCAATAATGTTGGTGAAACATGAGCGAAAAAATACTTCTTTAATGTGGTGATGCTATTATTTCTATTTGAAGAAGCCAAACTTGGGTACGGGTAAAGGAGGGATTTCTATGAGATAGTTACTACTGAATTTGGAAACAGAAGAAAAAATGAAAAATGCTGCTGAAGATTGGAATAAAATTTGATTGTGTTATATAGTAAAAAGAGTAGTTGAAAAATGCTTCCCTGGTCTAATAAGCAAGGGATATATTCTTACTAAGCCAATGGTATTTAAATATACCAAAATTTGCCGTGCAAATGAAAATTTTGAGCTGTGCACTTTACTTTATGCAACTATTTGGAATCTGATAGTTTTGCTCACAGATTTCAAAAGGCAAATATAGTACCATAATAAAGATTAATAAGAGACTAGTATCTATGATTTCCCCTTGTCTCATAACGTTGTGTATAATCTGGTACTCACCTTTTCTCGCTGCCCAAACCTCTTCACTCGATGAAGAGTTCATTCTCACGAATTCCACTAAAAAGTCCCTTCATAAGGAAATTCAACCTCAAAAGCGGGAGGAAAAGAATTCCATCGTGCTTGAGAGCCCGAATGATGGAGGGACAAGTGACCTAGTTAGGCTTTGGAGGGCTGGACACTTATCTCATCACCATCGACATTTAAGAACTGTAAGAGCTTGAACATTACTTCTTATTTTTGCCTCTATGTGATTGTAGATTCAGTCTTGAGTCTTACATTTTATTATAAGTCAAATTATCTGATATGACCTTATGACAGACTCATGGAACTGTAAACATTATTGGATGGGGAATTCTTTTGCCCATCGGAGTGATAATCGCTAGGTACTTCAAGAAAGTACCATTGAAGGGAAATGACTGGTACTCTCTTCATGTTGTGTCTCAATTATCAGGCTTTCTTCTGGGCACAGTTGGATGGGGACTTGGTTTGGCCATAAAAAATGCAGCTAAAGAAACCAGAATGAGTACACATGGGATTCTTGGTACCATAATATTTGCATTCGCCGCATTGCAAGTAAGAACAAAATTATCTTTCTGCCACTCCAAGCCATAGATGTTTTCCAAAATTCGCAGGCAGTCGCTGAACTTGTAGAGAAATCTCAGTTTGGTCATTATACTCGTACACGTTACTAATGCCCAATGAGATCTCGCTCCAAGTTCAGTGGATTTTACCCGTTGTAAGAAACGAAGCCCTTAGCTTACATTTAATCAGTTGTTAGCCTTATGTTTGCAGCCAAATGAAGGACATGAACGTCGCAAATACTGGGTGATATATCATCGTATCATAGGGTATGCCCTGATTGTTGTTATTACAGCAAATATATTTGAAGGGATGAACAATCAGAATCCTGCAGCACTCAAAAAATTCAGATGGTTTTATGGAGTTACAGTGGGGGTTCTGTCTTTCACTGCCCTGGCTCTTGAAGTCAACAGATGGATTAATTAGATTCATCTACATCTGGTTACTTTAAGCAGCCCACAAATTCTTGAGGATTGTTCTCAATGCATCTGTTTGTTCATTTCTCCTTCCCCTGTTTCTGGAGGTTTTTCATTCTAAAATGCTGTCAATAAAACTCCACCATGATCATCATTTGACTGGTAAGAAGGGGTATGCCCCTCTTGGATTGATTCAACATTCAAGAAAAAATGAAGTGGGATGAATAAATATGAAGAAAAAACCAAAAAACAGTATTAGAGGTAAAACCTTGTTCAATGCCATCGCATAGATTTATACTGTACAGTCGCATGGCCTATTGCAGGGAATTCTGGGGCCTCTTTGGGTTGTTCTATGCTATCGCATAGATTTATACTATGCAGTCGCATAGTTATACAAATTGACTGTTGGAGGTCGATTTCCTACCGTTGCAACTCTGAATTGTGATAGCTTTTCAACCTATTTTGGCACCAATTCGTGCACATTAGTGGTGGCCTATATATAGGTGATGCATTTCAAGCAAAAAATAAGTGAGAAACATTTGTGATCCATATTCATTCCAATATCAAAGATCAAATTCTTGATTCACGTTCATACTCTTTTCTTCATTTTGTTCTTAAAGTTTTGGAGGTTCACACTTGTGCTTTAGTGCTAGATTCTTTACAAGGTTTGATATAATCCTACAAATCGTTTGCTAAAATCCTTAAGCATCTCAATCAATCTCAAGAGGACGTAAATATAGTTTGAGGATAACGATTACGTGTTCGAGCCTTCGATCTTGTTCTTATAAAGTTTCTGGTGTTAATTATTTTTGTTGTTGCATTATTGTGATATTATTCTTATCTCTACTCCATTTCTCCTCCATATTTTCCAACACTGAAAGATAACGGCTAAGACAATTACCAATATTGCCAACAAGAAGAAAACCTGCAAAGATTTCTTGGTTTCTTGTGTTCATTAATCTTAATTGATTTTATGATGAATGAGAATGAGATTACAAGTGCAGAATTCACATATCTATCTTTTTCTGGGTGGTCTTGATCCAAGTGACTGCTTCAAGTTTACTGTAAGATCTTATTGTGCGGAAGGAAAAAGTTGAGTGGAGATGAAGAAAGTCGCAAATTACCAGAGGATCTGTACCTCCATTTTGAAGGAAACAACAAAAGAATTTGAATACTAAAGAACTAACCTTGGGAACTTGTATATCAAATTAAGTACTAATTTCTTCTTCTTTCGGGAGCAATAATAAATACTACGAAATTACAAGACTAACAAATGAGACACATAGGCTTATAGTGGCTTGTCCTCAAGGTGAGGGTTGCGTCCAGCCGCCCACTAGTCACTGCAGGTTTTTCACACGCCTCGTATTCAATATAGACGCCCTAAAATAGTTTATATTGTAGAAGTATTAACGCGATCCAATACATGTATGGCATATCTAATATAGTCCTGGTCAATTTATGGTCGAGGATAAGTGCATAGTATAATTAGACTCTATACAGTCCAAAATTTTGTGCATTATTCTAATGCCATGCTGAAGCATATGCAATAATGTTGGTGAAACATGAGCGAAAAAAAGACTTATTTAATGTGGTAATGCTATTATTTCTATTTGAAGAAGCCAAACTTGGGTACGGGTAAAGGAGGGATTTCTATGAGATAGTTACTACTGAATTTGGAAACAGAAGAAAAAATGAAAAATGCTGCTGAAGATTGGAATAAAATTTGATTGTGTTATATAGTAAAAAGAGTAGTTGAAAAATGCTTCCCTGGTCTAATAAGCAAGGGATATATTCTTACTAAGCCAATGGTATTTAAATATACCAAAATTTGCCGTGCAAATGAAAATTTTGAGCTGTGCACTTTACTTTATGCAACTATTTGGAATCTGATAGTTTTGCTCACAGATTTCAAAAGGCAAATATAGTACCATAATAAAGATTAATAAGAGACTAGTATCTATGATTTCCCCTTGTCTCATAACGTTGTGTATAATCTGGTACTCACCTTTTCTCACTGCCCAAACCTCTTCACTCGATGAAGAGTTCATTCTCACGAATTCAACTAAAAAGTCCCTTCATAAGGAAATTCAACCTCAAAAGCGGGAGGAAAAGAATTCCATCGTGCTTGAGAGCCCGAATGATGGAGGGACAAGTGACCTAGTTAGGCTTTGGAGGGCTGGACACTTATCTCATCACCATCGACATTTAAGAACTGTAAGAGCTTGAACATTACTTCTTATTTTTGCCTCTATGTGATTGTAGATTCAGTCTTGAGTCTTACATTTTATTATAAGTCAAATTATCTGATATGACCTTCTGACAGACTCAAGGAACTGTAAACATTATTGGATGGGGAATTCTTTTGCCCATCGGAGTGATAATCGCAAGGTACTTCAAGAAAGTACCATTGAAGGGAAATGACTGGTACTCTCTTCATGTTGTGTCTCAATTATCAGGCTTTCTTCTGGGGACAGTTGGATGGGGACTTGGTTTGGCCATAAAAAATGCAGCTAAGGAAACCAGAATGAGTACACATGGAATTCTTGGTACCATAATATTTGCGTTCGCCGCATTGCAAGTAAGAACAAAATTATCTTTCTGCCACTCCAAGCCATAGATGTTTTCCAAAATTCGCAGGCAGTCGCTGAACTTGTAGAGAAATCTCAGTTTGGTCATTATACTCGTACACGTTACTAATGCCCAATGAGATCTCGCTCCAAGTTCAGTGGATTTTACCCGTTGTAAGAAACGAAGCCCTTAGCTTACATTTAATCAGTTGTTAGCCTTATGTTTGCAGCCAAATGAAGGACATGAACGTCGCAAATACTGGGTGATATATCATCGTATCATAGGGTATGCCCTGATTGTTGTCATTACAGCAAATATATTTGAAGGGATGAACAATCAGAATCCTGCAGCACTCAAAAAATTCAGATGGTTTTATGGAGTTACAGTGGGGGTTCTGTCTTTCACTGCCCTGGCTCTTGAAGTCAACAGATGGATTAATTAGATTCATCTACATCTGGTTACTTTAAGCAGCCCACAAATTCTTGAGGATTGTTCTCAATGCATCTGTTTGTTCATTTCTCCTTCCCCTGTTTCTGGAGGTTTTTCATTCTAAAATGCTGTCAATAAAACTCCACCATGATCATCATTTGACTGGTAAGAAGGGGTATGCCCCTCTTGGATTGTGTTCATGCTGAATCTGATTAATGTAAGTTTCAAATTTTAGTTTAAAAAATCATTATCCTATTTTGACTTAACTAGATTCTTAAAGTAGCCTTGTGTTTCTTATAGAAAAAGTTTATCTATGTAGACTGCTGATCGTAAGAAAAAATTAAATGGCATTAATAGACAAAGATTACCCGTAACTCATCTATTCAAAATGGTTACCCACCATTATTGGAGTGAAATATGTTATTTCCACTTGATGGAAATTGCCAAGTGTTTTCGACGGAAATCAGAAATGGCACCTTGACGATGCGAAGTCTTGCCAAATGGATAAATTAGGCACGTTGACAACATTTCAATTCGAGAAAACCTAATCGTGCCTTAATTTTGACAAAAACGTTCACCAAAAGCCCCAGATATAGAAGAAAATCTCATTATTGAAGAAGAATTGTTGGACAGAGAGGAAGAGGGACCACATGGAGGTAAATTTTTATCTGTTACGATGGTTACGATAGAATCTGTACCTTTTTTTTATCTGGGCATAAATTAAATGGGGTTTTTTATTATTATTTTCTATACGATTTATGTCATTTAGTATTGGAATATTCGTATGTTTAATTTTCAATTAGAAGTTATCAAAAATCCTAAGTTTTTCCAATGCAGCCATGAACTTGAGGATGAAGAATTGGTTCCTCCTGAATGCTAATTGAGTGATTCAGATGATTACCGGAACGATGATGGTTTTCAGTACGACAAGAATGCACCAGAACGTGTTGCTGTGGAATTGAATGCAGACCCTAAAGGAAGGACATTGATGAATCTTCGCAAAATGAGGTTACAACTTGGTGAAAATTTAGTTTTAGGCCAAATGATTATTAGAGAAGAGAACACGGGGAGAGTAGACTATGAATGGAGGATTTGTGTCTCATGGAATAAGAAGAAGTGTGCCAAATTTATAGACGAAAGGTCAACTTCTTGATTGGAAGTATAAACTGATTAGGAAGGTTGAAGTTGACAACAAACAAAGTTACAGAATGGAGGGCTAGAAGATATGCTAGGATATTGATATAGGATTCTAATGGACGGCTCGTTTTGAAGTTCGATTCCTGCATTATAGGCTGGATTCTTCAATGAATGGTTTAGTATTTTGATTATTTGGTTAGTATAGTCTTCTTGTGTAGGACTGTTACAATTCAAATGGTTGCTTATTTTGAATAGGTATTTTGCATTTTTTCCTCAGAATTTTCGTGTGAATACTGTGGATTTTATTGTGTTCACAAAAGTAACAGGTACTTATTGTGCATACTATCTGTTGGATGTGGAATGATGTGAATGGCACAATTTGCCTTAAACTGGTTCTTGTAATCTCATGCAGACGATGTGAACTCTGGTCTGATGGTTTTGATTTGCTGTGCACCTTGGCCTCTCTAATTGCTGGTGGTTAGAGGATTTGCTGTGTACTTTGTATATGCATTATGTTCGGTTGCATTGGCGGCCTTGACTATGGGCGGGATAGGCAATTGCCTAAAGCCCTTTTTTTGTGAGGGTCCAAATTATGTAAGGTTAATTGGTTAGTTGAAGAAAACGAAAATTATGTTTGTGAAATTCTTTAAAATAGAATTATTATGTGTAAACACAAGAAACTAATAAAAATCAAAAATAAAAAAAATCTCTAGAAAAAACATATAAGTGGCATAAAACTCATCACTTATATTTATTATCACATAAATATATCACAAACATTACTCTATCTCTCTCTTTCTAAGCAATTTGACCATTTATCTTTAAAACATCCATTTTTCTTTTCTTAACCAAACAAAAGGTCTCTCCGTCTATTCAAATTCCATGTCCAATAGTCACTCGCCATAATTTTTTCAACCAAATAGGAAATAAATTATCTCGCTCTAAATTAAAATTTTTGAGATTCAATTTAGCGGATTGATCTAGTTTCACTGTCATTGTTATATCCTTATATTTCTTTCTTTCTCTCTTATCTTCAAAACATATGCTAGAAAGTATATAGAATATTGTTATTATTATTGTTTTGCTTTAGTCTCATGATAATAACTTTTTTAGATATTTATTAAAGGTATTTTGAATTTAATAATTCTTTGTCCATCATTTTCATTTTAATTTCTTAAGAATAAATATAAAAATTGAAGCTCATTTGTATTTGATCGTCATTTTTATTATTTTGTTACACTATCTCTTGCAATCAACGTTCTCTAATTTTGTACATAAATCACTCAAATGCATATTCAATTTTGTTAGAAATAGTTGCAGTAAGAAGACGATTAAAGAAACGAACAGACTCCTTTGTCATTGCATTGTAACTTTGTTTGCCATATATACTACACATAATTTGCATTGCGAGTTGAAATTTGACATTTAACCCCTGTTTGATAACTATTATTTCAAAACTTTTTTTTTCTACATACTCATTTGAAATAACACATTTACACAATAAAATATTTTGTACGTAAACCCACAACATTTCTCTATTTTTTAACCACACAATCTCTCAAAAAACCTATTCAAAACTTTATCTTTCCTAATTAATGGTTGTCAAACAAAGACTTTGTTATTTTCCTCTTTAAATTTTGGAGCTATATTCATTCTTCATACTTATATTAAAACTCTCCATAAAAATGCTCAAGTGAGAATAGGGTGACTTTTCTTCAATATGGCACCGTATTAAAAGTTGGCATAAAGTCCCAAAATATCAGGACCGGCCCTGTTTGGTTGTTTCTTTGTATATGATAGTTTTTGACACAGAACAAAAATGTGAATAATAATAATAATAAAAGGGTTTTGTTTGTAACATATGAACGGGTATTTCTTGAATTTCGTTCGAACGGATGTGAGAAATAGTGAAATTACCAAATAACAGAAAATTAAAATATAATTATTCATAAACAGCTATGGGGTTTTCAAATCCTTAACACATATTTAAAGGTCAAAACGAAACTCTAATTCGGTAAATAAATCTTATTAGAACTAGGAAACTGCAAAAACGACGAAAATACTTTTAAACTAACTCAAAACGGAAAAACACTGTGACGAACCCATAAACGATGGAATTTGACTTTGAAAGTTTAACTATGTTAACCAAAGGCCACACCTCAAAAAAATTGTAGAGAACTAAAAAAGGTTTCCAGATTGTATTCGCTCATGTAACTCTATGCAGCCTGAAGGGATTCGACCCAGTTCAATAACCATTTTGACTATGCTCACAGGGGTTTCTAACAATGCCCATGCCGATATTTTGCGTTGTTATGTGATTGAAACAGGTTTTCAGTGTGAGTTAATCTTGATGAATTGCATGCTGAGTGCGTATGTAGGCCATCTCCAATGCTTTTCCCAAAACACCAAAATACACCAAAAAAAGGTGCAAAACAACTCCAACGCAACAACAAACTTTGCACCATTTTGGTGCAAAGGGTCCAAGTCCAAAGTCATTTTTACCATTCATTTTTCATTTTACAAATAAATCGATTTAGGGGATTTGTGTCATTTGTGCTATATAATGTTTAATACAATAAATTATTATTATTATTATTATTATTATTATTATTATTATTATTATTATTATTATTATTATTATTATTATTATTATTTAAAATAAATTTTAAATGTAAAAAATAATAATTAATTAATTAATTAAAATCGAAGTTCTACAATCAAAGTTTGCAATAATGAAAGGACCGCAAGGTTTTGTGAAAAAACAAGTATTACATGATATCATGACTGCATGTATAATCATGCATAAAATGATTATCGAGGACAAACGTAATGTTGATGCACGAGTTCGAGAATGGAAGAAAGCGTCAAGTCCGGAAGTTGAGTTGGTTGAAGACGAAAATCAACGTTTTCAAAAATTCATTATTCATCATGAAAAATCAAGGATAAAGAGGCTCACATTGAACTTCAAAATGTATTAATCAATCATTTATGGGAAGGAGCTATGAACTCCAAAAATTTAAATTACAATAATATTTCCACTTCATAATATCATAATATCCAAATTCGAAATGCATTGCACTATTTTTTAATGGCATAATTTAATATTTTCATTTTTGTAGTGTTTTTACTAATTGTGCTATGTTTTTATATTTATTAATGAATTTAATCTTTTCCTTAATTTAACGTAATTATTTATTTGGTAATTTATGTATTTATAAAATAATTAAATAAATAATATTTCAAATTAATAAATTATTAAGAACAAAAAAAAAGAAGAAAATGGTTAAACAATATTCATTTGGTATAAATTTGGTGTAATGGTTGGAGATAAATTTTAGTTTGGTGTAAAATAGTGCAAATTTTGGTGCAGCGCTGAAAATGGCCTAAATGGGGAAGAGTAGGAGACGCCAGGACAATATTTGATTCGTTTGAGGACAAAGATATTGTTTCTTGGAATAGCTTGATGAATGCCTACTCTGTGGTAGCAAGGGAATGTTAGCAACGTCTTAAAGCTTTTGCACAGAATGAAGGATGAAGACCTAGTGTCTGATCAGTAGACTTTTGGATCATTGATCTCTACAGGCAAGGTCGATCCTGAGGCGAGGCGGTTGAGGTCTGCGCCTCAGGGCCCAAAGTCGAAGGGGGCCTCCTTTATATGGCCTAATATTTTTAATTTTTTTTTTCAATTAAAGGTAGAAACCCCAGGGGGCCTCATTTCATCGCCTCTCACCTCTCTGCTCCACCGGACCGGAGATAGCGACACTGCGGCACTCCCTTAGTCTGCTTCTTTTCTTCTTCTTCTCTTATTTCACTCTTCGCTTTTTCACAAATCAAAATATGCGCCCTTTTTTCAACCCTAACTGCCCTGCTGTGTCGCCGCCATCTACGCGACTACTCCTTCACCTGTCAGTAGCACCTCCGACCAGCCACCTACTCCCAGGCCCCAACCAGATTACTTATACAAATATATGTAAGCTCTGCATATCTGAATTTCAATTCTCAACAGCATCAAAAAAATTCAAAAATGGCAGAGGACGGAGCTGTCGCGCAGATACATATAAGCTCTATATATCTATTTTCATATTCAATTCAAACCCAAGATTCCCAAAACGCCAAAATTGGAGAAGAAATTCTTTTCTTTTAAAAATTGGCTTTTAACTTTTATCAAGTTCTTAGAATTTTGTATCAAAAAAGCTGGTTAAGTTTTAAACTTTTGTTTGTCAAATCAAAGCAAAGAGAGGGTTTTGATAATTTGTTGTTGGAGAATCAAGATAAAACTTGAACATTGATCTATTATATATTAATAACAATTATTTACTTTGAGATTAAAATTAGTAGAAGACAAAAAAAAATGTTGACTCCTCAATTGTAAGATTAATTTGAGACAAACCCAACTCATTTGAGATAAGATTACTTTGAGGTTTACTGATGCACATGTCAACTGTAAGAATTTTAGGATTTTTAGTTGTAGTGGTGCAATTTGAAGGTGTTAGACATATTTTACATGTGCCAAATTGAAACCATGGCACAAACTATAGTATACACAGAACAGAAAAAGGTTAATTTTAAGCAATCATCTGAAAAGTGTCCTACAGTCCTTCTCCAATGTTTTTGCAATATTATTTAGCCTTTGTTATGTTGTCAATAGAACTAATTTTGATGTCTCTTAATGAGATATCAGTGCATGGATTGGTAGTAGAAATGTAGAACCTTAGCTGTGTGAGTCTTTCTAGAATGATGTATTGAGATCGAAAGATTCTGAGCTTCCACGTATTCATGTCTATCCACTTGAAGAATGGATTTAGCCAAGATCCTTCTTGTGGTCGAAAATTATATTCTACTTCATGCAAATGTAGAGAAGAATGAAGTGGGAGAGAAATGCAGAGACGTTTTAGGGATTTACTTAATGGTTGCTATTAAATTTATCTTTCATATACAATTTAAATTTATCTTCAACAATTAATTTTTTATAGTTGATTATTAAGTTAACAGTTTGTACCATAATACGCATATATTTTGCATGCATAATTTTTTTTCCCCTTTTTAAGTTCGCCTTAAGCCCCCAAAAGCACATGACCGGCACTGTCTACAGGCACGAGAGAGGGTAGTGTTTGATGGAATTCTTAAAGTGCTGTATTGTGTCATTTCATAATTTTTGCTCAATTCATATTTTTCAGGTAAGCAATGGCTTGCCCCTGCTTATTTATAAACTATTAAACATATAGGAAATGTTCGAAACCTTGTCGGCTTATATATTGCATTGTAGTATTGCACTCTTGTCGAATTATATTGACTTTTGTTAGATTTAATCGTAGGATCAATTGTTTGAGCCCCATTTTTGGTATAGAATGCATTTCGGAGTAGTAGACAATTTATTTATTTATTTATTTATTTTTATTATTATTATTATTATTATTATTATTATTATTATTATTATTATTATTATTATTATTATTATTATTATTATTATTATTATTATTATTATTATTATTATTATTATTATTATTATTATTATTATTATTATTATTATTATTATTATTATTATTATTATTATTATTATTATTATTATTATTATTATTTTGTTTTATAGTTGAGTATTAAGTTAACAGTTTGTACCATAATACGCATATATTTTGCATGCATATTTTTTTTTCCCCTTTTTAAGTTCGCCTTAAGCCCCCAAAAGCACATGACCGGCACTGTCTACAGGCACGAGAGAGGGTAGTGTTGAAGACGGAAGAATTGTGCACGGACAGATAGTGTAACGTTTGGATTTCAATTAGATAAGTATGTCGAAAAGTTGCTTATGGTTATGTCTCAAGATGAGGAATATGAATGGTTCTGTATAAGTTTACAAGAGGGCAGGTGATAAGGATGTGGCGTCATGGATAGCAATGATCTCAGGACTTGTACAGAATGATTATGCAGACAAGGCATTGGCAGTGTTTTGAAGGATGATGGTTTCGCAAGTTATGCCATCAATTGCAGCTATGGCTTGTGTTCTCGCAGTCTCTGGACAATTGGGTTCTATCAGACAAGGTGCTTAACTACATTGCCACATGTTTAAGGCAAAGAATGGCAGCAGAGGTCTAGAAGGGTAGAAGGTGCATTTTACTAGTACAAGAGGATGTTCCCGGAACCAGGGGCGGACCCACAGTGGGTCCTGGTGGGTCATGTGACCCAACAACTTCCAAAAATTGATTTTTATTTTTTTATTTTTTATTTATTATTATTTATTTTTTTTGCCTTTAGCCGTTTTTGCCCTTTGCAGCAGAACACAGAAGAAGGCTCACAGTGTCGGTGTCCATATTGAAAAACCAAAACCCATCCGTAGTTCCCTTCCCTTGGAAATTCAAGACCCATTCTATTCGATTTTGGCTTTCTTCTTCTTCTTCTTCTTTCTAATGTTGATGTTGATTAACGTTATTCCACCGATATAGCCTACTATAAATGTGTTTAGTTGTGTATATTGTATATCTATCACGTGCAAAGAAAGTGAGAGAAACTGAGTGGAAAGAGAGGGTGAAGCCATGAAGGAAGATGGATGAGAGAGAGTGTGTGTGAGAGTGGTGTGGGGAGACTAGAAAGTCACGGATGCCACAGTGTGTTTGGAATGAGAAATTTTCATTTGGTCTTTGAGTGAATAAAATAATAAAATATTAGATAGTGGTTCATTTCATTTCATAAAATTTTATTTTTCATTTCTAAATTCAACAATGATGATCTAGAGTAATCGGATGGAAATGTTTTGGTTATCCATATATATCGGTGACATTTTTTCAGACATTTAGTTTTTATTTTTCAAGCATCCTCTTAAACCATTCTAAAGCATGTCTGCATATCAAATGTTTTTTATTTTATTTTTTTTACAACTTTTTTGCAATTTTGATTGTGTTAGGGACAGATCAATTGGATTACAAACCAGACTAATACGTAACAAACCGAACTAACATGTAACAAAAAAATAAAATAAAATAAATTTACACACACATATTTACTTTAAAAAAAATTGCCCTAAAAACCATTAAGTGAGCTGGGGAAGTGACTGGGGTACAGCCCAGCCCCCTATATCTGCCCTTGGATTGTGCCCCACTAATTCGAAATTTCTGCATCCGCCACTGCCCGGAACCCATGGAGAATGTTCTAGGTATCCTGCCTGATGCCTGTTGAAAAATTGGTAAGCCAGAGCTTAGGGAGATAATTGCCAAGGAAATTTCTGGTTTAAAGCCGGAAGATGCTGGTAAGTACGTGCAACTGGCTCACAGCTTTACTTCAATGGCCAGATGGGTTGGGGTGGGAAAAGCTTGGCTCCAAATGAATCACTTGGTCCGAGGAAAACTCCAGGTTGGATTTTTATTGAAATGCATGGCACAATAACGACATTTTTCTCGCCCCAGAGTTCACATCCTCAATATGAGGATATAGTTTCAGGGGATAATTGCAACAGCGGTTCCTCATTATTATTATTATTATTATTATTATTATTATTATTATTATTATTATTATTTTGTTTTATAGTTGAGTATTAAGTTAACAGTTTGTACCATAATACGCATATATTTTGCATGCATATTTTTTTTTCCCCTTTTTAAGTTCGCCTTAAGCCCCCAAAAGCACATGACCGGCACTGTCTACAGGCACGAGAGAGGGTAGTGTTGAAGACGGAAGAATTGTGCACGGACAGATAGTGTAACGTTTGGATTTCAATTAGATAAGTATGTCGAAAAGTTGCTTATGGTTATGTCTCAAGATGAGGAATATGAATGGTTCTGTATAAGTTTACAAGAGGGCAGGTGATAAGGATGTGGCGTCATGGATAGCAATGATCTCAGGACTTGTACAGAATGATTATGCAGACAAGGCATTGGCAGTGTTTTGAAGGATGATGGTTTCGCAAGTTATGCCATCAATTGCAGCTATGGCTTGTGTTCTCGCAGTCTCTGGACAATTGGGTTCTATCAGACAAGGTGCTTAACTACATTGCCACATGTTTAAGGCAAAGAATGGCAGCAGAGGTCTAGAAGGGTAGAAGGTGCATTTTACTAGTACAAGAGGATGTTCCCGGAACCAAGGGCGGACCCACAGTGGGTCCTGGTGGGTCATGTGACCCAACAACTTCCAAAAATTGATTTTTATTTTTTTATTTTTTATTTATTATTATTTATTTTTTTTGCCTTTAGCCGTTTTTGCCCTTTGCAGCAGAACACAGAAGAAGGCTCACAGTGTCGGTGTCCATATTGAAAAACCAAAACCCATCCGTAGTTCCCTTCCCTTGGAAATTCAAGACCCATTCTATTCGATTTTGGCTTTCTTCTTCTTCTTCTTCTTCTTCTTCTTCTTCTTCTTCTTCTTCTTTCTAATGTTGATGTTGATTAACGTTATTCCACCGATATAGCCTACTATAAATGTGTTTAGTTGTGTATATTGTATATCTATCACGTGCAAAGAAAGTGAGAGAAACTGAGTGGAAAGAGAGGGTGAAGCCATGAAGGAAGATGGATGAGAGAGAGTGTGTGTGAGAGTGGTGTGGGGAGACTAGAAAGTCACGGATGCCACAGTGTGTTTGGAATGAGAAATTTTCATTTGGTCTTTGAGTGAATAAAATAATAAAATATTAGATAGTGGTTCATTTCATTTCATAAAATTTTATTTTTCATTTCTAAATTCAACAATGATGATCTAGAGTAATCAGATGGAAATGTTTTGGTTATCCATATATATCGGTGACATTTTTTTAGACATTTTGTTTTTATTTTTCAAGCATCCTATTAAACTATTCTATAGCATGTTTGCATATCTAATGTTTTTTTTTTTTATTTTTTTTACAATTTTTTTGCAATTTTGATTGTGCTAGGGACGGATCGATTAGACTACAAACCAGACTAATACGTAACAAACCGAACTAACATGTAACAAAAAAATAAAATAAAATAAATTTACACACACATATTTACTTTAAAAAAAATTGCCCTAAAAACCATTAAGTGAGCTGGGGAAGTGACTGGGGTACAGCCCAGCCCCCTATATCTGCCCTTGGATTGTGCCCCACTAATTCGAAATTTCTGCATCCGCCACTGCCCGGAACCCATGGAGAATGTTCTAGGTATCCTGCCTGATGCCTGTTGAAAAATTGGTAAGCCAGAGCTTAGGGAGATAATTGCCAAGGAAATTTCTGGTTTAAAGCCGGAAGATGCTGGTAAGTACGTGCAACTGGCTCACAGCTTTACTTCAATGGCCAGATGGGTTGGGGTGGGAAAAGCTTGGCTCCAAATGAATCACTTGGTCCGAGGAAAACTCCAGGTTGGATTTTTATTGAAATGCATGGCACAATAACGACATTTTTCTCGCCCCAGAGTTCACATCCTCAATATGAGGATATAGTTTCAGGGGATAATTGCAACAGCGGTTCCTCATCTTTTCATTTTTTGCAAACTTTATCATAACCTTCATTTTATGCCAGTAAATGTCCCTAATCTTTTATAAATATGTACATGAGATCCATCTGGATGGAAACCATACAAAACACCGTCAATTGACCGAAAAAATTCCTTGAATAATTTGCTACCGCAATGATTTTATTGGATGTTGATATTTTTTTGGACGGTGTTTTGGACGATTTTATTCGATATTGATTACTCAATTTTCCCGATCAACTAACAGTCTTTTTTGACGATTTCCATTCAGATGAATCTCAAATGCATATTTATGAAAGGTTAGGAGCCTCCAATGGCACAAAATAAAAGCTTTGGTAATGTCTACAAAAAATGAAAATGTTAGGGAAGTCTGCTGCAATTTTCCCTAGTTTCAATTTCGAGAATCTGATGTATGAAATTAGGCAACTGGTATTAACTTCAGAACAAGAAAATTTTGTGATCGATTCTGATATGATCTTAAGATTAATGAGATCCAGTTTGTTATGTAAAAAAAAAGAGTCATTTTGAAAGCAACTCTTATCTTATTGTCAAAATAACAACTTATTTTCAACTTTGACCAATAAAAAATTATTATTTAAAAACCTTTAAGTAGACATCTTAAGCCGAGTCAAACATGCTCTAATAACAACGTGCTCATATTGTCATTGTTATGGTCTATCTCCATTGCAGACAATCAGACATTATTGTCCACTGAAAAGAGAGAGAGAGAGAGAGATGCAATCTGCTAACCTTTATCCTCTTTATATGTTGAGTCCCAGCATCTGCATAGCTAAATGTGATAGGATGCCAGCCTTTATTGTCCATTTTTGTCGCCGATAGGTTCCATACAGTGTATGTCACTGTTCTTCGTTCAAGTTGAGCTTCAAGATTATTCATCTACCCAGAAGACGAAAGAAAGCATAATTGCCAAACCATTAAATATGGGAAAGCCATGTAATAATTAGTTCCTAAGTAATAACGTAGGGACATCACAAAGCAACCCACCCAAGAAAAACAGGGTGGCAAGACAAAAAGAAATATGTTAATTATATTATATATATATATATATATGTCAGAACAAATATTTACGCACTGCAAGTAAGGTCTGCTATATATATATGGATGGAAATTTTTTGGTTATCCATATATATCGGTGACATTTTTTCAGACATTTAGTTTTTATTTTTCAAGCATCCTCTTAAACCATTCTAAAGCATGTCTGCATATCAAATGTTTTTTATTTTATTTTTTTTACAACTTTTTTGCAATTTTGATTGTGTTAGGGACAGATCAATTGGATTACAAACCAGACTAATACGTAACAAACCGAACTAACATGTAACAAAAAAATAAAATAAAATAAATTTACACACACATATTTACTTTAAAAAAAATTGCCCTAAAAACCATTAAGTGAGCTGGGGAAGTGACTGGGGTACAGCCCAGCCCCCTATATCTGCCCTTGGATTGTGCCCCATCAGAACAAATATTTACGCACTGCAAGTAAGGTCTGCACATAATGTTCATCCGGGATACAATTGTGTTGTTTCTGAAGTTTCTGCAACCAATAGTGGAATGTAATCAGCATATCAGATATGACTGGTTATTGGTACAGGAATAAAAATAAGAAAGATCATATTTATGAATCACAGAGATGGAGAAAATAAACATGACAAAAATTAGGAAATCCAGGTGGTCTTCATTCATGTCCATTTTAGAACAGGGAGCAAGGTAACTTACAAGATTATGCTTTCCGTAACTAACATCCACAGGCGGTCGTCTCTGCAAAGAAGTAAAATTTTGAGTTTCCATAGAATAAAGAGTATCAATAAATAATCTTAAAATTATATCCCATTAGAGCTGACCTATGTTCGCAATTGTTGCTAAACTTCTTTTGTTAAGAAGAGCATTAATTCTGTAGCATAGATAATTAGGTGGATGTGACATTAATAAAAAAGTGTTCAACATCTGAAGTTTTTGCAACCGAATATGGTCAAAATAAAATCTAAAATCATAGTTGGTAACAGTGTTACACAACAGCAACTGCCGATCTAGCATGAAGAATATCCAACAGAGAAAAACATCATGTGGATTGTGGCCCATTATATACCTTGCAAAACTTTTTGAAAACAGGAAAGACAACTTCATCATCTACAATGACTTCAGCATGGCTACGGATTAAGGCGATCCACTGAAATAATCAACTCGTTAGATTTCTGCATAGCATGGGAAATAAGAAAAAAATCCAGCATTTGTAACCAATTTTGTTAGATTTGTGCATAGCAGGGGAAATAAGAAGAAAAATGAAATCCAGCATTTGTCAGATACATCTGGGACCCACCCAAAACCGCCAAAACAAAAGAATTAAAGTTTTTAGGCATTCATCTGAGTGTAGCAAAGTGAGTAACCCATCCATAATCAGCCGCTAATTTCTCTGGAAGTGCATTTTGATAGATGCTGATTTTGGTGGAAGTGTTTTATCATTTTGACCAACACAAAAATTCATCTTCCAATTGACACAAAGTGTGATTGGCACAAGTACGAGTTGGTGAGCGTCAGTGTGTGTGCACACACCTGTGTCTATAGGTGTGGAGATGGAAAGAGAGATTGGAGCGTTATTCCAAAACGGTATTGGGACTGAGTCATCAGTGAGTTTATTTCAATTCCCTAGGATGGTATCAAATATCAATCATTGACTTACTTTAACACGAGAGGAATTAAAATGGGAAAAGGGAAATTACCTGCGATCCTTTCCGCCATTTGCCCTGTGGTATAACTGGTGACATCTTTGGATTGTATCGCTCATTTTTTTTATCAAGAAAACTAGAACACAAAGAAAGTGTATAAATCTTTGGCACATGTTTAATTTTGCGTCCACATAAGACAAATAATACAAAAATGATCAAGAACTAGGCCTTTATAATTCACTGCCATCATATATAGAGTCCAACTAGGCCACATAGAAGAATATTCATGTATCTACCTGTCCACAAAACTCTTTGGAGAAGCCATGAGATAGTTGTAAATATAGCTGAAGTTGTACAAAGGGACACAGCTGGAGAATTAAAACATAAAAAGTTAGAAAATATGCAAGTGAAAGCTGCAAAAGCGTTAAAATATGATGATAGCACAAACTGATGTACATGATAGGGGAGAACTTTGGAAAAACAAAGTATGTGGCCTAATGAGACACTAGGGCTTATGTGGTATAAGGAAATTAAACCCAAGAATCAGGATTAATCTGAAAAATCTGAATCACCGAAAAGATGAAGATAAGGGGTCACGTGAAATTTACAGTATAGATTGGCTTTTAACTATACTAAAGAAAAATTTGGATCTGCGATAAAAATCAAAGTGAATAAAAATTGTCTTGAGTTCAAGCATATTACCACCAAGTTTGTGCCAGTTATTCAATAATTATCAATTGTATTAATTTCACCTGTAAGTTTCTGCATTTTTAGCAATGCCTCTCTATTCTTGCCCTGTGGTAAGATCCCTGCACAAGTGCAGGTGAACAAACTAGATCTCCTACCATTCACTTCTATGTTTTCATGGGCACCAGTGTGTTCACTTAGACTAGAGCATGGCAAATACTGTTTCAAGAGCAACTGGAACTCCACCCAAAATTTCACTTATCTTAGTGATACTTCATGCATGAATGTCTAACCTTTGGGTGGTCATAGGTCAATTTTTTCACAAGTTGAAGCCAACTAAAGTTATAATTCAGACACTCAAATACATGAAGAACCACTTTTAGTTGTCTAACAGTAATGATGACGAACCTGTCTGATAAGAGAACAAATCTCTGATTTGCTGGATCCTCAAGAGCCGCATCAAGTAACAACCTCTCCGCTTCAATCATACTTGCTTCTCCCCAAACTACCTACACCAATATCCCTATTACCGATCTATTATACTGATTAGAAAAAGAAAACCTTGCTTACCAGAAAAAGTAAAATACTACTATGTCAAACAACTGAACAAGCTTGTCCCAAAATTTTCCATGAATGTAAAATTGTGCGTGAGAGGGGGAAATGGTCTTCAACCTATTTGGATCTACGTCAACCAGAAAACATTAAAACGAACATCGCTCCAAGGGATGGCGAGAGGGGCGGGGAGGGGGGCATCCATTCCGTGCCCTGCCTCACGGGCAATTTTTTGCCCTGTGCTCCGCTTAGGACAAGTCAGGGCACTCATTTACCCTATTTACTACCCTGTTTAATAGATATTTGTCTTTAAAATATGAAATTTTAAAAATGATACTAACGGGTGGGGCAGCCGACACCTGTCCCGCCCTGCCAACTCAATGCGAGGAACTCCTGCTCCTGCTCTGTTTGAGTCATGGCCATGCAGGTCTCGGGTCAACTGGGTTTTAGCCATTCCTAATCACTCCCCTATTTTAGACTCTATTTCTTTTACGACAAGTACCGAGAAGTAAATTTTGAGAAATTGCTTCCGGCCCATCCTCTCATGCTTAGCCTGAACAAATACGAAACTGGTAAACAGCTTTAACTAAAGTTGAAATTTAAGAGAAAAGTGGTGCGTAAACTTGGATTCGCTCAACTTCTCAAAGTGTTTGTCTATTTCTGTTATTTTTTCCAAATACACTACTCGGCAAACAAACAATTGGTAGATAAATGGAGTTACCTTAATGCCATTTTTCAATTGTCGATTGTAGAAGAAACTAGATCTCGTTGTTGATTCATCAAAAGCAAAACCAGGCTCTGAATGTATGTATATTGAAAATTTTGCCTCGTCTGCATTCTGCAAGCAGGAAAAACATCACAGGAAAAACAAGGGGAGAACCCAAAAGTAACCTAATCTAGGATTCTTTATTCTGAAATCTAATAAAAGTTGACTCTCACAAAACTTTTTTGACAACAAAGAAAATGCACAAAATCTTGATGTTCTATCCAAATTTAATTATCCCAGTGGAAAATTCAAACAGGTCAAACACAATAAAAATGAAATTAAAAAAAAATAATTTAAAGTATTAGAACATAAAGAAGCTACAAATGAAAATTTTCAGTAACTGTATTTTTCATTTCCACAAAAAAATAGAACTCACCTCGAAAAAGCTTCCCCAAAGGAAATCGAGAGGCAAGTCTCTCCGAGCGAGGTATAGAAACGCGATTTTGGGATTACCTTCGAACTGATCAAGGAATACTCGAGATTTCCGAGGCAACGTTGAATAAGGAGAAACCGGGGATTCCGAGTACTTCTGCAGTCTGAAGAAAGCCCATAGACAAAGAACGATAGACGTCAAAATCACCATCTTCCACACCAACCAGAGCACGCGGCGCATCGGCTTCACCGGAAACATTGATGCCTGTGCCTTCTTCATCATCAGTTCTTATAATAAATTAATTATACACTGTTTACCAATCCTCCCCCTTCCTCTTCCTTTTCTTCTGCAATTCAATAAATCAAAATTAAGCAAAAAAAAAAAAAGCGCGCGCACATTGTGTAAGTGGTAAATTTTAGAGAGAGAGCGATTACATGTACATTGAGAGAATTATATGAAATTTCCACAATTTAAAATAGATATAGGAATGTTGAATTGAAACAGAAGTTTCTGGCGGTGGTTTATCACTGTGCTCAGTTTTGGCGCATATGAAAAGAACAAAGATGCCACGATGTCGTTTCAATTTGTGTGTAGGTTTCAAAGTTCTATCTTTCTCGCCATTACAGTGACTGGAATTTTTATAATAAGATTTAGGGATTATTTGTTATTCCTTCTCTTGTTCTTATTCCCATAAGAGAAAATCAAAGAATTGTTTTGTACTGAAACCAGAGAACAAATGAAAAAGGGAAAATTAGAGAAAGTTTTTGTACCTTAACTGCGAATTATTAGAAAATGATTGCAAATCGTTGATGCTAACAGCAATTAATAAATTAGGGTTTATATTCAGTGACTTTAATGGATTATGAGTATATGTTTTCAACCTAATCCCTCCTTTCACTAGAAGAAGAAGATTAATAATTAAGGTCAAATTTGACGTGAATAGTAATCTTCCATTATAAATTTCGCTGCAATTATTAAATTCAATTCCTTTTAGGACATTCTATTTAGAGTTCCAATGGCAAAGTTGATATTTTGCTAGTTGCGAAATATGACTCACATTTGATTATGATATTATTTGAAAGATATCATATTTTAATTTAAGTTAAAACTAAATAATTAATTTTAACCACATATTTCATCGAATCCACGATTTTTCAGTCACATACTTTAATCAATTTTGATCAAAATTGATTAAAAATCTGATTTTTATCTCTGCCAAATGGAAGTTATGAGCCTGTTTGGGACTGATTTTGAGAATTAATTTTTTGATCGTTAGGAGAAAAGTGTGATTCACATATGAGAGAATAAGTCAAATATAATGGCTGAAATAGTGAAATAACGATCAAAAAATTAATTTTTTTGAAGAAAAAATCACTCCTAAACAAGCCTTATATAAATATATCATGATCAAATAGTGCTAATGTTTGGACCTGCTTGGTTACTAGGGCCACATGACATGGGGGCGCCAAAAGTTTTGAATTTAGAGCCTCTTTGATTCCCACTAATCAGGGAAAAGGAGTTTTGAATAGCATTTTCGAACAATGCATGATTAAAAAGTATGAAAAAATTTTAAATTTACGTATAGAATATTTTATTGTATGAATGTGTGATTGAAAATGATCATTTAACAAGCCATAAATTAAATTAATGGGAATCAAACATGCCTAATTCAAAGTAAATGGAGTTAATACTAACCTACAAAATAATAAACAATAAAAGTTCATTGCTAATACACGCTGCGAAAACAACATAGATCGCCGACGAAAGATAGCAAATCTAAATGATGGTTTAAAGTTGATATTCAACATCGGGTTCTATATCCTTACTTAAACCTCGAGGCGAATCTAAGCACGGACCGAGTTTTCAATTTATTGCTTTTTAGCTTATTGATCACAAAAAGAATTGGATTTTCTACGGGAAAAGCTCTAATATTTTAGGTAGAGAAAAAAAAAAAAAAAAAAAAAAAAAAAAAAAAAAAAAAAAAAAAAAAAAAAAAAGACTCCAAAGCCCAATCTGCTTCTCTCCCAGTAACCCCTCTCACAACCTGTTTTTGCCTTGTGGACAAATTATTGAATTGTTGTTACGAGGTTGGCAAATTAATGGATTATTTTTGGATTTTTGTTGGCTTAATAAATTTCCACCCTGGATCCTAAATTCTAGAATCCACCCACCATGATGTGCTGTCTCCAACTTTAGGATTAGGAACAGGCTAAAGGGGTTGTCACCCAAGAATAACTCTTAGGAACACTTGAAGCCATGAACCTCGTCATTATACATTTGATATTATTTTACAGATAGTCACTACAGGTCTATTCGATAGTGGTTATGAGAATTAATATTTTGACCGTTAGAAAGAAAAGTAAATCCCGCCTATGAGTGTAGAAGTCAAAGATAACAAATGAAATAGTGAAATAACGATCAAAAAATTGATTTTTTTAAGGTAAAAAATTGCTACCAAACGGGAGTTAAATCTCAAAACTTTTAAAAATTAAAAGATTTTGTTTTGATTGATACTGTTGTTATTCTAGTCTGATTTACAACCTCCTTCAAGCAGCAATCTAAGAAAATGGGCTATAACAACAATGCCTACAATTATTTGTATTAACCAAGGCAAAACAATTACAAGACTTATTCCTTTGCTGAAAATTACCAAAAAAAAAGTCCAAAGGATAGCAACGTCAAACATGGTTATTTGTTGGGCAAAATTGTATATATCAACCAAGAATGACTCATTATCAGTGTTCCACATTCCAGAGCAAATAGTTTTCAAAGGCTGTTATCTTTTCAAAATCATTGACAGCAGCGTGAAGGATCATCTTCTTGACCGGTTATGAGCAAATTAATAGATTGTAAATCAATCTATTACACACATCTTTAGAGCATGTTTGACTATTAAGCTTAAAAAGTTATAAACTAAATATTTTTTATCAGTCAAGGTAGGAAATTAAGTAACTTCAAATATTTTTAACTCGAAAAGATAAGAGCACGTTTGATTTGCCGTTTTTCCAACCGTTTTGTTTTTAGTTTCCGAAAATGTCCAAAACGTGTTTGATCACTCATTTCTGAAAATGCATTTTCCAAGACAATGAAAAATTTATAACTGAAAACTCAAAATGATTTTTTTCCATTTTGAGTGTGTTCAATTAAAAAACTCAAAACGTGGAAAACGCTCAAAACACGTCGTTTTCTTTTTCTTTTTTTTTTTCTTTTTTTGTTTTTACCCAGGGAATGTTCAGCAATACTTTTAAAATAATAAATTCACCAAATTTAAAATATATATTATCTGGTAATATATTAGCATAAAATTATTATGTTTCACTAAATAATCAAATTAATTAAATAAATGTCATAAAACAATTTCTAAAAATTTATTATTTATTATTTTATTTTTCTAGCAAGAAAAAATAGTAAATTTATCAAATTTAAAATATATATTATCTGATAATATATTAGCATAAATTTATTATGCTTTACTAAATAATCAAATTAATTTAATAAATGTCATAAAACAATTTCTAAAAATATTAAACCAAACGCATTTTTGTTTTGAGAAACCATTTTTCGAAATAACAAATCAAACACGTTTTCTGTAATTCAAAATAGTCCTTCATAACAGTGAATTCAAAATTGAAAACAGAAAAAGTAAACGCAAACCAAACGCACCCTAAGCTACTCAAGCATGTTTAAGTAACTTCTATATTTATTTTTTTTAAGCTTAGCTAAACGTGCTCTTGTAATGATTGAGACGAGAATACCTCTAAGTTCTTCAGTAGTATCCTGAACTCTTCAGTTAATCGAAGGCATTCATGTACAATTCTCATCGCTCGAAGCTACTTCTACTGTGTGGGTGAAAATGTTCACCTAAACAAGTCGAATTTTTCAAAGAACATTAGGTTATACACCATAATGAATAAAAATAATCACCAAGTTCTTAAATTGCTCGCGTATTTTATTTTTATTAGCCAATCAAGTTTTTAAATTGCTTGAGAAGTAATTTTCTTTAATGAGTATTGTAGTAAAACTCTCAAGTCCTTGATTCTTAGATTGGTTGAACCAAATTCTCTAAACAAGTGCACGTCCAGGTTACCATTACTTAAATTAAATTCAAATATATTTCAAAAAAGGTTTTGTAAAACTCACAACTTCCTACCTACTTATTATCCACACATTTCATAGAAATCTACAATTTATAAGTACTTAGAAGCACTATCAAACAATCACATATTTCTTTTCAGCTGGGTTCAATTTTAGTAGGAAATATAGTGCTACCTTTTTTCTCTCTCCTTTTTTTTTCTATTTATTTATTTATTTTTATTTTTATTTTTTGTAAATTCAATGAATATCAAATTACATGTTTAATACTTTAATTATTCCCCAATTATTTTGAATGCTGATAATTTAGCTAGCTTGTACTAACAACTAGATTTTTCTCTATGAATTTAAGATCGAATATATAAAAATAGTCATTAAAAAAAAACAAAAATCTAAACATGTATACAAATAAATTTAGATCGACTACTTGTATCAACGGCACTTTAAGTAAATTGTATCAACTTACTCAATTGGTATAAGTATTTGCCTTCCATCAAATATCCTGCAACAGCATAGGCAGAACTGGATTCAAAAACAAGAAATAAACTACCTTAATGTAAGGTCAAGAACCATGGGACATTCCAAAAATATGTATCATCACTGTAGCCCATTTAAAGCTTGGGAACATCTTCCTCTCAATCCCCCTTATCCTGAAAGAAAAAAAGAAAAAAAAAACGACATAAAAAGTATCATGTATGAACAAAGATCAAGTGATAAGTGCGTTTTGCACACTTATTCAGTCCACAAAATATGACTAAGTGTTGATCAAAACATTTGGATTATGGCTTAATTCTATATAATTTTGTTTTGTACGATTATATTGATGGATGTGATGGAATCCAAGAGAAAAGAAAAGAAAAAAAGAGATAATTCAAAGTATGACTAGATTGCAACATTTCAATAATTGATTCGAACCACAAAATGAAGACTAAAGGTGTTGCGGTTCAATTGGACGCAATTAAAAGTCAAAGGGTTGAAAATGCAAGAGAAAGGACTTGAAAAAATCAAGAATCGAATTCGAAGGCTAAAATACAACATTTGAGAGTTTTTGTAACTGAGCGACAACCTAGGTTTTGCTTGGACAGCTGCCCAGGCCAATCGCGATGAAAAATTTCTGGTTTCCTATTCTGATTGAAATTTTGTTGGAAACAAATTTTTGGAGGTATTTTTACAACCCTAGGGCCGTCCCTAAAGGGAACCACATCTACCGGTCTTCCAACAAATACAGAAAGAGGAGGAGACTTTTCATGAGCATGTCATTGTTTCTTTGCCACAAGTTTCGAATATGGACGTTGAACTCGATAAAACTTCAAATAACGAAAAGGAGAATGAAAAGACCAAAAAGTTAATCACAATGGACCAAAAAGAGTTAGTAGCATTCAAAGAAGAGAAAAATAAGCATGCAATTCCTCAACTTCATCGTTTGCTCAAAAATTGGATTTATGGTTGAAGCTCATGAAGAAATTGAGGTGTACATTGTCTAGTTCGAAACGGGCGATGGCGGAAAGTCACACTACTTGGAGAAGGACAAGGTCAAAATTTGGAGAAAACTTGCAATATGGAACAAAGTCGAATTGAGCAAGCTAAACAGGACCTCCCAAGCCATATTTAAAGTGTCATAAAACACATG